GGCAGATCATGACTATATATGGGCATACAACATTTTTTTGTCAAAGAAAATTTGGTAGTGTAGACTTTAAGGTGTATTTTGTTTTGATTCAGGTAAAGACTGGTCTAGAAGAAGCTAAGAAACACTTGGACCAGTCATCTAGTCTCCTTGCTGTTGTCAAGCAATCTATAAACCTAGGCACATCAAATCAAGAATCAGACCTACAGCAAGTGAATGCTGGTAATGTTATAAACATATCTATTGTATTAATTTTTTGTGTTTATGATATTGGCATTGCTTACACAAAAAATTCTGTTTTTAATAACAAACAAAATAAAATTTACTGAAATGTCTTGTTTTGAATGTTTTTATTTGTGATTCATAGTTAAAAAAAACTTCAATTATTACTCCTTTCATGAGCTAATTAAATTTTAAATATTTTACAATTAATTCATCTTAGGCCTGAAACTGGTAACCTTCTGAACTATTTATCCTAAGGTTGGATGCAGTGCAATGTGTAGCTTCATTATCAAATGTAAATAATTAATTTTGAAATGCTTTCATCCTAGGCTTATTATCAAATACTGTAATTATATTTTTTCATCCTTTTATGTCTGTTGAAGGTGTTAAAATCTTGAAGTCTTCTTCCTGTAATTAGTTGAGTGTTATACTTTATTGAATGAATGACTACAGTGCCAGCTTTATGCTAGGTCAGCCACCAGGTTTTAAATCTTAGTACTTTCCATAAAAAAAAAATGTTTTTCATTGCAGACATATCCAGTGTAATGGGTTTTGAACCACTTGTTAATCAACGGCTTCTTCCGCCAACATTTCCAAGATACACAAAGATTGTTGGCCGTCTAGAAGCCATTGAGTATTTAATGAACCTTATTGAACGCTTGAAGAAAGTATGTCAAGTTACAAACCAACCAAACTTCCAAGCCATAATGGTGAGTTGATAGAAACAGAGTTGCTGCCAAATTTGCCTTTAACAGGGTCCAGGTACCAAATTCCCTAATGGGGTGGGGGCACAAGTGAGGATAGTAAGCACAAATATCCTGGGTGACAAGGGTGACCTGTGTCCCTGGTGGGGGTCCAAAGGCAAATCACTTTGGGGGTTTCATGAAAGGAGGCTTGTGAATCTTTAGCAGTATTAGGATTTGAGAGGCTTATTTAATTTATTTAATAATCTCAAAAGAATCTAATTAGGCACACCTACTATTTTCTGTAAACATCAAGGCCTTAGAAGACTAATATGTTTTTCCTGACGAAATATGTTGTTCCCTTCCAGCTCTTTCTGACATAGGATCATTGATTATGATTGATATTTACTTTCGTTATTCATGTTTGGTTTCAGGACTTTTTTATTGATTTTAGCAAGGAGTGTCCATGCATTCTGTCTCGCTCCATCCTTCAGTTGATCTTCTTGCCATATAATAACAAACGCGTTTTTGGTGTTGAGCTACTACAAGATTCGATCAAAGAATATCTTCGTACACATGTGTGTTTCCCAGTTTTTATGGTACGTCATCCACTGTACAACCATCAACAAGCAAAAGAACATATCGATGCATTTCTGAGCAAAGCTGTAAGGGTAAGCATTTCAGAATTTTTTATTGTCTAATTTACAAAACATGTGACCATCAAAGGCAACCAACAAAACATGTGATGTATCCATATATGGATATGGTATGATATCCATATATGGATATGGTATGATATCCATATATGGATATGGTATAATATCCATATATGGATATGGTATGATATCCATTTAAAGTAAGCTCTCTCTTAAACATACAGTATCATATGTGTATAATATAAATTATATTTCAAGTCAATCGTGGCATCATCTTTTTAACTATCAATGTTATTTTCTTATCTCTAACCATGCAGTAATTTTTCATTAGTACATGGTTATCATTTTTTGGTTTCTGTGCAAAAGGCCAGTCAAATTGTATGTATAGCAATATTGCGCACCACATTGAATTCTAGGCTAGTGTTTTTCCACTTAGCACTATGACGCAGGCCTGCAGAAAGAGAGGGCAGACACTCGCCCAATCGCGGTTGTTCGTTGACAAGAGGTAATTGAAAAATGACATTCGTAGAACAAAGTACCTTAGAACCCAAAGAAAGTTGCTTCAAATTCAATATTATGTATGAAAAATTAAGTAACACCTTGAAAATCAGTGGACCCTAATAAACTAAAAAAAACTAAACATTTAATAGGAATATTTGAGACCATCTAATCATATTATAAAGTACGTTCTCCATTTTGTCCTGTAGCCTATATGTCAGTTGATGCAAGTTCATGGTCATAATCGAGCTCGTCAACGTGAAAAACTAGCCCACGCACTTGAGGAGCTGTCATCGTTACAAGATGAGGTAAGGCCATAATTATTTTTTTTTATATTTAGTAAAATAATTGCTTGCTTAACTGTATTTCAAAGTGTATTATTTTTTATTTGTGAAATTTCCGTAGATGAACCTAAGCATGTCATACTCAGGTTTAAAATTTTCAGAAGAAAGTGTCAAAGGTCAAGGTCAGAGAAATTCTATTTTTTACCCTCAAGTGTAAAAGAAAATAATGGAATCGCCCCACATATTCAGGTAGCACTCAAGAAAACAATGTGCCTGAATACAACAGGTGATTCCATTTTTTCCTTAAGGGTATGCTGCAGTTTCCCCATCATACAGGGCGGAGGTAGGCACTCTATGAAGTGAATGCTCTAGTTAGTAATAGATTCATACTCTTTCATACTTCTTGATTCCATTATGTCATATTCAGTGTTGAGTCTGCATTTGTGGCAAAGACAAGCCAAACCAGTCACTCGTCGCAAAAATTGATTTTGAGTTATTAATACAGTGTTAGAGAGTAAAATAATAGCTATAAAATGTAAAAAAATCATTCAAATCCGACATTTCCTTATGAAGTTACAAGCGTTTAACCACACAGCTGTTTAAAGAACAATATATGAGAAATTAACTGTCAAAGTTAATGATTTCAGGCATTTCTCATGCAGAAACTAGCTTTAAATCCTTAAAAAGTATTGTTTTAACATTGAAAATTGGGAAAATAACAGCATAGAATGATGTGTAGATATATAAATGTTAGTTTAGTGCAATAAAATAGATTTTTAAAAATTTGACATTCCAGCATGTTTTGGCCATTTTCTCTGAAACACGATTTGCGACGAGTGACTGGTTTGGCTTGTCTTTTCCACATTTGTCTTTATATGCCTAGTATGAATTAAAACATCTTGAATTATTCAGCCTTTCAATTGATATAGCTTCATTTTTACCTTACTACTGTACTGTGTAAAATACACTACTTGCAACTACAGTATTATATGAACTCTTTGGATTAACATGTTGTGTCACTAGGCTGAGCAGCTTGACCGGGAATTAAGCAATATGGTTGGTCGAAGTAACAGAGAAGTGAGCTGTTTTAGTAATTGGGCACTGTACTACACCCTTCGAACCATGATCCAACATATGCAACTAGGATTTGAATTGGAACTTTATGCTGTCCATGAATATCATTACATCTATTGGTGGGTTAAATTTCTTTTCATTTTGTCTAGCATTTATATATATATATATATATATATATATATATTAAATATAATCTATAGCATAAAACATACCATGGGTATATTGAGCACTGTAGTGGTGGTGTGGTTGTGTTTCAATTGGAGGCTTAAAATGCATGTTACAATAACTCTCTGCCTAGCTTTTGGTCCTGCAATATGGCCCATGTGTGCGTTGATGCAGTATTTCGCAAACTTTTTACTTCACGGTCTATTCACAATTCCAGGCACCAAGCCGCAGCCCAGCCACGCCAGGGACCAACATACCAAATCTTGGCGGGAACTTTTGATCATGAAGCCTCCATGTATATACAATATTTTGACATCATTATCTGTTCTCTCAGTGATTATTTTATTGTATACAAATTAAATATTATTTTATTAAATAAATAATACCGTACATGTGTGTTTCCCCAACCTTCCCCCCTCCCCATCGACAGTTATTGATTTTTTTTTTCTTTTTACCACGATTCAACCAAACACGGTTCAGCCACACACGTCATAGCAGGGCCGTAGCCACGAGAAGTGAAATGGTCAGGTTGCGAGCGAAGCGCGAGCACTGATGATTGGGGCCCAGGGAGATGTTAAGGGCCCCAGGTCTGGGTTCCGGGAGGCCATTAAACTAATATTATTGTAAACCATTAAACTGTAATATTATTAACTTTAAGCCAATAAACTGTAATATTATTAACTAAGACCAATCAACACACATTACATAAAACATATCAAAACTATTATGTTTCTTTCCTCGTCGGTGCTTACATAAAACATGATTTGGATCTAACATGATGATATTGATAAACAATCAAAATTCTCTGTACAATATTATGCTAAACATTTACAGAGTGGACTTCCCTAAGTTGTTGTCATATTAGACTGTAATATTATTATTAAAGAAGACCATTCAACAAACAACATAAAACATATCAAAGTTATTAGTTTAAAGTTCTCATGTCGGTGCATGCATAAAAAGTAATTTCCTAAAATGTGGATATCTGAGATTGACAAACAAAATTCTTTATACTATTATACTAATTTAACGAGTCGACTATATGTATGTTGAGATACGCAAAGTTTAATAGGTTAGAAGTTTAAAGGAGAGGACTTGATCCTTATGTTGTCATATTAGACTGTAATAATATCATTAAAAACCATTCAACATAAAACATATCAAAATTATTAAGTTAAACTTTCTACTTCAGTGCATGAATATAACATAATTTTGTGATATATGAGATTTACATAACATTTGAGAATGTACTGAATATAAAATCTTAAATATTTTACATTTTAATCAGCAATCTATCAGAAATACGGGGATTGGTTATATTATGCTGTAAAGCCTTCTGAACCCCTGCAATACTAAAACTGGGATCCAACAGGCAGTGAATATTCCATTTTGATTTAGTGTAGATGTTTTTTACATATTGTTAATTTTATTTGAATTCTTTTTATTTTTATGATTCATATTTTATATTTTCCACAGACAGATAAGTGAATGCCTAAACTGATATTTTATGGGTTTCAGATTACTTTCTATACAAAACAGATATCATAAATTATCTATTGTCCGACTGTGTGCATTGAACATTTGACGACGACGATAATGTCTCCAAATTCCCTCGCTTGACACTTCACATCAAAGGGCCTGTTAATTAATCTTGCACAGCTTACTCATCATCATCATCTTCTTCATCATCATAATTGTTAATTGTCCATAGCAAAGTAGGGAAAAACTATGAATTCAAAGTGTATTCAATAATATAGACGTCTCATAATGCACGAAGTGTATTTCAAAGAATTTAGAAAACAAAAACTTTTCGAATATCTAAAATTTATGTTCCAGCGACAAAACAAGCTAGTTCTCTTCTCATGACTCTCCCAATATGGGAACCCATCTGTGCGATAGCCAGGGTAAACTCTGGATCCACGCTTGACGTATTTAATGCTTAAAAAGGTGTATTTACAGTATATTTATTTAAAGAAAATAATGTTGCATACTAGAACTATCAGGAATAAATATACAGTACAGATAAAGGCTCCTGAGGGGGCATAGACACAAAAACCGCTTATAACTCAAATAGCATGCATCATCTGGCTCTTCAGCAGCGTGTGCAAGCGATGCATTCGCTCTAACAATGAAGCGGCTTTATTAAAAACTATTTTCTCTATGATAAAAAGTCTCTTCGTTATTCTTTTTCTTTCAATTTCCAGACGGTTTCACGGCCCTCCAAAAATTGTTTGCGGCCCAAATCTGGGCCGCAGACCATAGTTTGCAGAACGTCGCGTTAATGGACACAGTACCGTCTTCTAAAAATAGCAGGGAGTATCTCCCAGTCTTTTATCCAATTCACCACCAGAAGGACCCACTGAAAACTTGTCATCAGACCTCTATGGGTTATCAACTTATATTGAATAAACATACTGTACCAGAAGTAATTGTTTTACTATGTTCTTCTTTCTTAGAGGGCACAGAATTGTTTGTAATTGTTCAATTTAATTACATTTGATTAAATCAGCCTCCTTAATTTATCAACATTGTTTCAACATCAATTCTTTAATCATCATATTAGGTACCTGTCAGAATTTTTGTACAAGTGGTTGGAGTCAACGTTACGACGTCTGGAAGTTATGCTTCAAGAGAAAGAATCACAGATAGATCAAACGCAGAAATCCCGTATTAGTCGCAAGAAAGCCAAAAAGAAGAAGAGTCGTCCGATCGACCGTGAAATGGTTTTGGTGGAAGCTTTTCAGGCCATGACTTGTGGATATTATAAGGTAGCCAAATGTGGTTTGTTTTTAGGAAAATTAAAATGACATTCCCATGTGCTCAAACCATTTTTTTAAATTATGAGCATGCATTTGTCTTGTCTTATGATATCTAACAAGGTTGAATACTCCATTAAGGGATATTTGGGCACTAATCCTTCTATAATTGGAGGATTAATGGAAAATTAAAATGAGAAAATATTTTACATACAGATAAAATATTACTGTTGTTAATAATTCTTTGCACCCCAAATTTGCTGGTAGACAGTTCAACTATTTTTTTTCCCTAATAAGAATTCTTTGATTAATCTTAATACCATAAATAAATAAACAAATCCTTAAACAATACTTTTCTCCAAAGGCTATGATTGGTTTCAAAATGTCTCGTAAACTTGTTCAACCAAATTATGACTTTGATCAAGAGAAGATTCGTTATGAGCACCGCTTGTCTGCTTTCACCATTATAATGACGCCACCTCCTGTCCAGTATGAACACTTCTTGGATATGACTCATCCATCAAAGTATCCAACTGCTGGGCCGGCATACTTCTTCCAAATGGCTCAACAAGCATTCCAACAGGCTCGTCAACGATTTGAAAGTATTTCAAATCCAACAGAAGAGGTGAGTGCAGTAATCTTGTGTAAAATGAAGTAAAGAAATGCCTGAAAGCCAGTAGCTTCACTATAGAAGGAAAAACACTGATTATAATTTTTGTACCATATGAATAGATGTACTGCAGTTTCAAAAGTGTAACAATCTCTCAAGTCAACCAGGAATGTGTCATAGGGCTTGTATCTTCTGAGGAAAAAAGCACATATTTTTAAATGGTTATTAAGAAACATGTGCTTTTTTCCCAGCTGAAACAGGCCAAAAAACAAAAGCTAGGCTAATAGCTAATCATAATTATTTTTTACTCTTGTGGTGTTTATTTCGAAGCAGTATAGTAACGTTAATAGGTTCAATCTTTACTTCCGTCAGTGATCATCAGCCCACCCACCAATAATCACGTTACTGTGTTTATAATTGTTGCATTTTTTCACTAGAAATATGTTCCGAAGGAATTTAACCGTATCCAAAAAGCATGTGTTTTTTGCATTATTCAGCAGAAACATGCCCATAGAAACCAGATAAAACCAGATAAAATTATTTGAGTTTATTACACTGTACATATAGACTCATTTATTATCAGCTCTAATTTAAAAAAAAAAAATTTTTTTATTAGGAACTACACTTTTTTTATCAGTGCCAACACCTAGCAATGGAAGGTGCATCCAAAACAGTTAATATAAGAACTATAAACAAAGTGAAGTTTATAAATAATAATATGTCGTTCTTATATAGCGCTTAAAAGAGAACTAGCAAAATGATTTTTTGTTCTAGAGGGGAATTTTGATATGCCATTTATAATATAATCAACCTTAAAATCGCTTTTTGGCAATTTCTTATGGAGTTATAGGTCATTATTGCTGCGAAGCAGCCAATTCATATTCTTGACAGCAATTTGACCTCTGAAAGGTCATTGTTTGTCAAAAAACAAGACGAAGGTCCCAATGAAAAACAACGTCGCTCTTTGATAGCTAACATTGTCTATTTAACATCAAAATAATTCATTATTAGACCTATAATAGTTGTTTTTTGAATTGTACTCCACAAATCTCAGCCGATACCTCGCACAACCAGGGTTGCCAGATAGTTGACAGGCTTCACGGCCAAACACACGCCATCTCACGGCCAAATTCGGCCAAACTTTTTTTCAATATCGGCCAAAATTCGGCCAGATGTTAATCCGATTAGAAGACAGTTATGTGGGTACATATTCATTTCAAATACTGCAAAAATTACAGGAAAATCAGGGGCCGTTAGTTTGAAATTGAAGAAATTCAAATAATATACACAGAACAATGTTAAACTTCTTTTAATTAATCTATCACCATAAAATACATGCCCAGCTACATCATAATATTAAATAGCCTAGGCCCTATTTTCTTTAGTTGCTGACGCCCGAAAATAACCTTATGCGTTTGGGCGATCAATTTTTCTTTTTTTCTTTTTTTTTTTCACCACTCCCCGCCCCCTCCCCCACCTTAAATCCGCTTCTGCTATTTAAAATCACATCATTAGGATTGATCTAAATTGATTTAAATGTACGGTATTACATATTAACGTACATTGTAGTCGATCATAGCAAAAAATTTTAAGGTCCTGTTATTGGTAAACCCGTTTCTCTCTTTAATTAGAATGAATTAAGTTACAATAGGTAACACAAACTGGCATTAAAACAAACCTATGAAAACTTTAATAAATACTTTTTATCTAAACTTTCTAAATTCGCCTCCGAATGTTATTGTCGCAGTACTTAAAGCAATAAATCAATGTTGCTATCAAAATTATCTTCTTCATTCTCATATGCAACCTAACTCCAGAGTCTCTGCAACACTTGCTTGAAATTGGAGGTGCCATCGGACCCGG